CAAACGGCACAGGCTCTTGTGATTGCTCTTACTTGCTCATCAAAACCAGTTGTAAGAGCATATTACTGATTAAACCAAGTACTTGTAGTGCAGTTTCTAATTGGCCTTAATAATAAGAACCCTGAGTGGAATATAGGGGTAAATACTAAAATATCAGAGAAGCAGTACAGTGAACCACTAGTTCTTACCTCTACTGAATGCTCAGACCTAAGGGGTGATCCTGTCCCTACAAATCATTAGACAGAATGCCATCTCTACAGAGCCTCAGACTGAATCTTGAATTCCTGTCTTCTTCTACCTTATAGTATTCTCTCTGCTCAGCCCTATAGTTTCTCATCTCCACCTCTCTAGTGCTGGGATTAAAGGTGTGAGCCACTACAGATTGGCTTTGTTTCTCTTTTAGTCTAATTCAATGACGTAGCCCAGGGTGGCCTTGAACTCGTGGAGATCTGTCTGCTTTGTCTCCCAAGTGCTGGGATTAAAAGTGTGTGCCACCACTGTCTCACCTCTGTGACTAACTAGTGTAGTAAGCTTTGCACTGATATTCAGCCAAGCTTTACCTGTTAAAGCACAAACAAAATATCAACACATGCACTAATGATATCGTACATAAAAAATTCACCACAACCTCTCCATGGAGCACTCTTATTGAAGAAATTACAATAATAGTCTAACCTAGCACTGTGCTCTTCATGGTACAGTGATGAACTTCCAAGCAATACTGGTGCAATAATGACATGGCCGTTATGGGAGTAATTGACTTCTTTAAAAAATGGATAGAAAACCAAGAAGGGAATCTCTCTCTAGGAGGTGCGGTATAACAAATTGGTTCTACCACAGGAATACATAAATTCTAATAAAATAGCTTATGTACTAAAAGACATATTATAATATGTCTTTTATTATAGTACATTTAAGACCCAATCAAAACTGTATAATAGTCTTTTATCACAGATTCCTTTTGGTTGCCATGACGAAACACCGAAAGAGAACTAGGGAGGAAGAGTTAATGTCAGCTATTGTGGAAAGATTCCGGACATACTTAAAGTCTGAGTACAAACTGATGGAGTCATATCTATTCTCCTTCCAGGTTGATCCTTGGGACAGTTCTAAAGAAACCATGCTTGGTAGAAAACGCTTTTATCTGCTGGACCATCTTGGAGGCATCTGTGTAAGAGTGTTTTAATGCTTTATAAACTCAAATGTCTGGTGATAAAACAAGGAGATAGTTAACAAATAATGCAGAGTTAAATTCCACAGGAGATAGGAATGTGGGCTGTGATGGCATGGGAAAATTTTCAAAAGTGTCAAACTCAGCAACTATAAAACTAGAGAGAGAAGCAAAAAGAAATAGAGCTATCAGATATTTCACACACAGTTATAATAATCTTTTGGGTCTACTTAATATGGATAGATAATCCACGTACTTTGAGCACAGACCTATGATTCACAAGGCTGCAGGTGTGAGGTGTGTACATGGTACATACTAATGGTTGAAGCATCTGATGTTTATTGTCGTGGTTCTTAAATATGCATTTTATTATGCATATTTCACTCCAAAGTCATAGATGTGTTTTTGAGATAGAAGTTGCCAGTGTACTGTTATGTAGAGATGTATATATTCTAATTGCTTTGTATTTTATTGTGTTACTCAATTGCTCTGCAACTGAAGAAATGTAATCCTACAAGAAGGCCTGTTATGCCACATAATTGATTATACTGAGATATGCTATCAGGAATAGAATGACCAGGGCATTTAACTAGAAACTTAGCTCAGAGACAAAATGTTAATCTGAATGAGATATTTTTAAAAAATCAGTGATGATGTTTCCAGAATACATTATGACAATCACTGTACATAATTAAATTTGATTAAAGAGCCATAGACATAAGAACATATGATCTTATATCAAAAATTTTCATGTAGTCTAATGAAAGAAAACAGAATACCCAGACATCAATCTCTGCAAAAAGATTTACATGATTTTGAAATATTCACAGAAATGTACATGGAAGCAATGATAGCCTCCTTAACTGGGAAAGTGTGTATCCATCTATAGAGGAATAAAACAAGATTCCTATATCTCCATCTATAAAGAAGTCAACCCCACATGGTCAAAGCATCCAACTAGAAGACCTGACATTCAGAAAGGCCAGAGACAAAAACCAGGAGGAAAAACTTTACAATATAAGCAGATGCAAGGACTATACCAATGACCCCATCAGAACAGGAAACAATTTCCAAGTTTGGTGAATGGCATTTCCTGAGAGTAAAATGTTTCTGCAGCCTTGCAGAGTGTCTCACTTTCAATTTAAATTATCTTTAGAAGGTCATGATGTGTTCATACAACAGTTTTTAAAAATGGACACTTCTTCCTGCTTTCCTATCCTCTCTTTTTCCCTAACTGTCACTAATTATACCTTTCCACAGAGTTCTTTTTTGTATATGTGCTATCAGCATAGATAGAGTGTCATGTTTACCCTCCCTTAAGATATTACTTCATTATTGTCCTCTTTCTATATTTCTGGCATCTTTGGAAACTATAAGCTCAACACAGCACACTAGAGACTTGAAGACATGACAAACCTAAAAAGAATGTGTGTATGTGTTATATTCTTGTGCCTTTGTTGTCACATTGGATATAAACTTTTCAGTTTTATTTATTTACTAGAAAATTGTATAACTTTGCTTTTTGCCTTGACAGCTGATTTATACTCCTTTGGGTATATGTGCCACATTTCGACTATCTACTTATCATTAAAACACCACTACTAAGGGTTGAGTATCTCTGCGCTGTTTGTCAGGGAGACATTAGGTACTCAATCAATACAGGGTTGACATTGTTCATTACTGACCAGGATTATATGATGAGGCCCTATTACTGAAGATACCATATGGGTACTATACATGATAGAGAAATAAATTTGGAAATGGGATAGATACTCCTTTCCAGCAGACTAGAATTCATAATCCTAAAAGATTTTACTCAAGTTGCTGAGTGGGAAAGATATCCATATTATACCCAGGTATGAAACTACCCAGCTATGAGAATAGCAAACTATGATACCAACCTTACAGATAAGCTATTTTCATTTGTACAATAATGATACAGGGATTAAAGACTAACAACATATTATTTGATTGGATTTGAGGCAGAGACCCCAGAAGGGAACTTGTACGCATTCCTGTAATCCAACCACGAAGCACCTGGTAACATAAATCATAGGACTGGAGGGGGAACTAATTCTGTTGCTTAGCTAAAATGATACACTATAGAACCACTTTCTAAATATATGTGTCCGTTTCAGAAGGTAGTTGAAATGCTAAGATATAATCAGAGAAGGCTTTCAGCAATAAACTTCAATAAAGATAAAAAATTACTTAATAAGGGACTGACAATAAGTGAGAACTAGTGCTTTTTCCTAAGCAAGACATTTTTACCTTCCTACTATAATCTTCAAAAAACATTTTAGACGAGGTGGATAAACGATTGTAAGGTTGAGAAGTTAAGGGACAATGTGGATAAGAGCTATACTATGCCATTTGCTGGTCAATAAATTGCCTTAGATTTGTAATTCCAAAACTCCTATAGATTTTTGTATTTGATCTGAACAAGACTAGATCAACATCCAAGCAAGAAAGAACGAAGGACTCAGAAGGACTACACCTCACTGCTGAAGTGTTTACCATTAACCGATTTAGAAAGGGGTGACACGGTGTCATCAGTTGTGTAAAAATTATTCACTTGGGTGAAATGAACAATCCAAGTCATATAGCTATTTAAACATCCCTGGCTATTACAAGTGGGTCAGAGAACTGTCCCGCGCTACCGTCTCGCCAGCAAGAACGACGCGGCACATTCAGGATCCTTCTGCAGAAAAGCTTTATGCGTCTCGAGAGGGAGAGCATAAGCTTATGGAGCGAAGACCTCAAGGGTCAAAAACCCGGCCTTATATAGTTTAACAGTCCTCGCCTCGCACGTGTCAAACTGACTGGCTGCAGCCTGTCAAACCCTATGACGCCACGGGAGAGTCAGAGAGCAAGGGATGGAAAGTTACTATGTGCATGCGCCCTGGCTTGACAAGGTAAACTGTCATTTACCATGCACATGCGCACTGGCTTGATTACAGTGGTGGTGCTGATGGTCAGTGTCATCTTGCAATGGAGTATGTGGGAACAGCTCCCCACATCTCCCCCTTTTGATTTTTAAAAGCAATCAGGCATTCCCAGGCTATGAGGGTAGAGACAGTGGTTGTACTTCCCAATGTAAAAATATGTAAGACGTGTACGTAATCTATCCCTAGATTCATTGAACCCGGGATGCTTTCGACCTGCCCTCTGCCATTTTTTCTGGGAAAGGGAAAATGAGGCAGGCAACCCTTATGCAGGACAACATGTCTCTCAGAGAGAACCACTCTCTGTGCGATGCCCTTAGCTCAACACCCCTCTTGGGAGGTCAAGCTGAACACTCTACCTTGTGCAGTGAACCTGAGTTCCAGGTGTGCAAGAGCTGTTCAGTCGGTGGTCTATTGCTTGAGCATAAATATCAGTGGAAGCCCCTTGTTCTAGGGCGACCAGAGCCTGTGCAATCATCACCTTATCTCTTTTGTTTTGGGTTTTGAGCTTACAGACCAGTCAGAGAAGTAACACCAATCCACAGCAAATGACTGCACCAAATAATTCCACCCCCACCCATTCCTTGAAGTATGAAACAGCAGACAGTCCCTCTGTGAAGGACAGATCAAGGCAGGTAGAGTTGATCTGGACAATGGCGGCTCTCAACTCGCGAAAACATCACCAGCATCGGCAACAGAAAGGTCGACACGATCAGCATGAGAGTGATCCCCGCCATCCTTCCGTTCCAAGATTTTTCTTGTTAGCCGTTCAGGGACCCAGAAAGGATTTTCTTCATTCTGTGGAAAAATACAAACAGCTCCCCTGGATCTTATTAAAATAGGATCCGGGCCTCTCCATTCATTAGTCAACACATCTTTCCATTTTACAAGTTCCTTTGGCCGCCTGGCTGCGAACAGTGTCGATCCGCCGCGGTCTGATCACGGTCATCCAAATTTAAAAAATTTATAGTGAACAAAGCAGTGGCAATGGCCACTCTTGGCGTCGGGGGCAACTCCTTCATTATTCCTCTTTTTGTTTAATTAGATAAGACTTAAGTGTGCGATGTTCTCGCTCAACAACGCCTTGTCCCTGAGGATTATAGGGCAGGCCTGTATTGTGTGTAACTTGCAGTTGCAAACAAAATTGCTTAAACTTTTGAGAGGTATCGGCAGGCCCATTATCAGTTTTTAAAAATGTGGGCTTGCCCCAAGCACTCCATGCCTCAAGGCAATGTTGAATGACATGAGAAGCCTTTTCTCCTGTGAGAGGTGTGGCATGAAGAATGCCAGAGCATGTGTCAATTGACACATGTACATATTGAAGTCTTCCAAAAGCAGTGATATGAGTAACATCCATTTGCCATACCTGTAAAGGCAAAATTCCTCTGGGATTTATCCCAGTGTGTCTAATAGGGAGAAACTGGCAGCAATTGTGACACTGGGTCACAATGTCACGAGCTTCCTTTCTAGTGAGAGAAAAGCGCCTACGCAGGGTTTCAGCAGTAACATGAAAGTTATTATGAAAGAGTTTCCCATATTTTTGTGGGCCCTGGAACCAGGGGCCCACTGCCCCGTTTTTTGATTCCTCAGTAACAGGTGCCCTTAATGGAAGAAGAATTCTGCCTTTTATATCCCTCACTGAATGGCATAGTTCAGCCTTGTGGTAGCCTTTACCACACCTGGAACAGAGGGTAGAGGGAGCCCTCTCCTTTTCTGACAATCTACAATCTTTCTTTAAATGTCCTGGCTTGCCACAGTTAAAACAGACCTTTTTATCTGGTTCCTTAAAGGGGGGTTTTTGTATTTGTAAGATAGCAGCGGCCAGCCCAGCATTGGTGAGGGGACCTCCCAACTCTCTGCAAATTCTAAGCCAATCCTGTAGTCCCTTACTTTTTCTGGGGGCTATGGCTGTGCGACATTCCTGGGTGGCTTGTTCAAAAATGAGCTGTTCGATAAAAGGCGCGGCCGTTTCAGGATCGCCAAAGATACGTCCTGCTGCCTCTGTCATTCGCTCCACAAAGTCTGAAAAAGGTTCTTGTACGCCCTGAATGATCTTAGTGAGCTGATTATTCGCTTCTCCTTTTCTAGAGAGTGCTTTCCATGCCCTAATGGCTGTGTCAGCAATCTGTCGATATGCACCCCAATGATAATCAGTCTGATTAACGGTAAAACGCCCTTGGCCAGTTAGGAGATCGAACGTCCATTGTTGTTGTTCTGGAGTCAGAGCCATGGCATTGGCTCTGGCTTGCTCCTGGGCCGCTTCATACCAAAGGGCTTTCCATTCCATATATTGACCCATACTAACAAGTGATGCTTTGGTGACCGTTTGCCAGTCAGCCGGGGTCATGGCAGTCATAGCCAATCTGTCTAATTGGGCTAGGGTAAAATTAGCGGTAACGCCATATTTTCTAACCGATTCCGCCAATTCTTTTATTTGGCTATATTCCACAGGTGCATGCACCCGTCCTCCTTCCATGTCTTCAAAGACGGGGTAGGCCAAGCGCAATTTTCTCTTTACCTTCTCAGGAAGGAAGGAAAAGGCCCTCAGGCGCATATCATAAGGAGGGGGTGCCGAAGGAACCACCTGTGAAGAGGCTGTGTAAAGGTGTCCTCTGTCGCTTTGTAAGCGATCATCGGGATAACATCTCTCCTTCTCCTATCTGGCTGCTTCCTCATCTAGTTCAACTTCTTTCTTGGGGTCTAAATCTTCATCCCCAGAGCTATCAGAGTCATTAGAGCTATCTATACTTAAAGCCTTAAGTTCCTGCAGAGGGTACCGGCTAGAGCCATTCTCCTTACTTTTTTTTTATCATGGTGCATTATGGACCATTAGGGTCCAAAGTATTCATCCCCTCATCCTTAGACTTACCAGGGAGGACTTTTTCCTTAATAGGGGCTAATTTTTTTCTGCGCGCGCCCAACCTCTCAGTACGTTCAGTTTCTGACATACTGTCCTGGACTTCTTCTAGGACGTTTCTTCCCTCTGCCACTATAGCCTTGCAGGCTTCATCCTCCAGACAGTGTTTAACCAACTTCCAAATGGCCTTTGTTCCTTGCCTTAAGTCTCTCTCAATTAGTTTTTTATTGAGGTCTTTACCTAGTTTGTTCCACAAGGCAAGAGTCAACGATCCGGAGCAAACATACCAGGGAGCCACTCGATCAATCTCTTTTACGAAGTTTTTCCGCGTCTGATGGGCAATTTTTATGTCTTTGTTTTAACACCGACTCTAGTGCTGTGATAACGGACTGCGAGGAGCCCATGATGACAAGCAGGCACCCGCGGTTTATCTACGTCCGTCTTACAAGTGCGGCGAAAACGAAAGTATCCGAAAACGAAAGTATCCGCGCGCGGCTCTTTTATCTACAAGAGACTGAAGCGCACAGTAAGGTACTGCCACTTATCTACGTCGGACTTACCGTACCTAACAGTTATAACGGTGGTCCCAAAACGATGATCAAAAGCACTCTCAGAAGATCACTAAGGCCTCCACGCTACTCTTCAGGGCGATGAAAGGTCCAATCTGAAATCCAAAAAAGACATGCCTCTCTGAATGTACTCACCTGCAGTTCTGAATCCTCCTTGAGTCCAAGGGGTCTCCGGTGGTGCTGATGATGTTAAGATTCCCCGGATTTCGGCACCAGATGTCCCGCACTACCGTCTCGCCAGCAAGAACGACGCGGCACATTCAGGATCCTTCTGCAGAAAAGCTTTATGCGTCTTGAGAGGGAGAGCATAAGCTTATGGAGCGAAGACCTCAAGGGTCAAAAACCCGGCCTTATATAGTTTAACAGTCCTCGCCTCGGACGTGTCAAACTCTGACTGGCTGCAGCCTGTCAAACCCTATGACGCCACAGGAGAGGCAGAGAGCAAGGGATGGAAAGTTACTATGTGCATGCGCCCTGGCTTGACAAGGTAAACTGTCATTTACCATGCACATGCGCACTGGCTTGATTGCAGTGGTGGTGCTGATGGTCAGCGTCATCTTGCAATGGAGTATGTGGGAACGGCTCCCCACAGAGGACAAAACCAAAACTCACAAACCTGTAAAAAATATACATGGATGGGGAAGGTAATGAGGATCAGAGAGAGATATGAAGGGGTGGTGAGTGGAACCAGAATGCATCATGTACATGAATGCAATTGTAAAATTGCTAATAAAATCATAAATAATAATATTTTTAGAATGAAGAAATATATGCAACAAATTAAGAGGGCAGACTGCAGAAATCAGCAAGTGTAAGCTACAACTAAGAGTGCTAATATCTAGAAAATGTTAGAAATCAAGAAATCCTAACAGTGAATATAATCATGAAATATTCAAACTCATAGATGATCTAACAATAGGTAATGAATGTATAAAAATATTCAACTAGAGAAAATCAAATTCGAACTACATTTATATTTAATCTCCCAAGTTCAAAGGAGAAAATGGGAACTAAGGTAAAGAAAAGTTGTCAGAAAGGAAAACTTTCACACTGCTGGAAGTTACAAATATTCAGTGAAAATACGTGTGACTGTTCCTAAAAAAACCCAAACAACATACCTAATACATGACCAAGATTTACTTTCCTGGGTATTCAGCCAAAATACTTCAAGTCCACATATCAAAGAGATATGGATATTTCCAATTTTCTCTTTTTCCTTTTTTAATTTTGTTAATTATTATTATTATTACAAATTTTCACTTCCTCCCCTCCTCCCAGTTCCCTCCCCCTCCTCCCATTCCCACTCCCCCTCCCTCTCCATTCCAAAGAGCAGTCAGGGTTCCCTGCCCTGTGGTAAGACCAAGGACCTTCCGCCTCCATCCAGGTCTAGGAAGGTAAGGATCCAAACAGACTAGGTGCCCACAAAGCCAGTACATCGAATAGAATCAAAACCCAGTGCCATGAACATAGCGGACAATGAGGAATACTGAGAATTCAAGAACAATTGCAGTGGGTTTTTGATCCTACTGCACGTACTGGCTTTGTGGGAGCCTAGGCAGTTTGGATGCTCACCTTACGAGACCTGGATAGAGGTGGGCAGTCCTTGGGCTTCCCACAGGTCAGGGAACCCTGATTGCTCTTCGAGCAGATGAGGGAGGGGGAATTGATCGGGGGAGGGGGAGGGAAATGGGAAGCGGTTGTGGGGACGAGGCAGAAATCCTTAATAAATAAATAAATTTAAAAAAAAAAAAAAACCCAGTGCCATTGTCCTTGGCTTCTCATCAGCCCTCATTGTCTGCCATGTTCAGAGAGTCCGGTTTTATCCCATGCTTTTTCAGTCCCAGTCCAGCTGGCCTTGGTGAGTTCCCAATAGATCAGCCCCACTGTCTCAGTAGGTGAGTGCACCCCTCACGATCCTGACTTCCTTGCTCATGTTCTCCCTCCTTCTGCTTTTCATTGGGACCTTGGGAGCTCATTCCGGTGCTCCAGTGTGGGTCTCTGTCTCTATCTCCATCCATCACCAGATGAAGGTTCTATGGTGATATGCAAGATATTCATCAGTATGGCTAAAGGATAGGGCCTTTCAGGTTCCCTATCCTCAGCTGGCCAAGGAAATAACTGGGGACATCGCACTGGGCACCTGGGAGCCCCTCTAGGTTCAAGTCTCTTGCCAACCCTAAGATGGCTCCCTTAATTAAGATATATGCTTCCCTGCTCCCATATCCATCCTTTCTTTATCCCAACCATCCCATTTCCTCAAGTTCGCTCCATCCTCCCCTTCTCACATTTCTCTCCCCATCTCCCCTTACCGTCATAACACCCCACCCGCAAGATCCCAATTTTTTGGCCAGCAATCTTTGCTACTTCCAATATCCAGGAGGATAACTATATGTTTTTCTTTGGGTTCACTTTCTTATTTAGCTTCTTTAGGATCACAAATTATAGACTCAATGTCCTTTATTTATGGCTAGAAACCAACTATGAGTGAGTACATCCCATGTTCATCTTTTTGGGTCTGGGTCACCTCACTCAGGATAGTATTATCTATTTCCATCCATTTGCATGAAAAATTCGAGAAGTTATTGTTTTTTACCACTGAGTAGTACTCTAATGTGTATATATTCCACACTTTCTTCATCCATTCTTCCATTGAAGGGCATCTAGGTTGTTTCCAGGTTCTGGCTATTACAAATAATGCTGCTATGAACATAATTGAACAAATGCTTCTGTAATATGATAGGGCATCTCTTGGGTATATTCCCAAGAGTGGTATTGCTGGGTCCTGGGGTAGGTTGATGCCGAATTTCCTGAGAAACCGCCACACTGATTTACAAAGTGGTTGGACAAGTCTGCATTCCCACCAGCAATGGATGAGTGTACCCCTTCCTCCACAGACTCTCCAGCAAAGGCTATCCTTGGTGCTTTTGATTTTAGCCATACTGACAGGTGTAAGATGGTATCTCAAAGTAGTTTTGATTTGCATTTCCCTGATTGCTAAGGAGGTTGAGCATGGCCTTAAGTGTCTTTTGGCCATTTGAACTTCTTCAGTTGAGAATTCTCTGTTCAGAGAGTGGACAGCCTTGTCTTGTTCCTGATTTTAGTGGGATGGCTTTGAGTTTCTCTCCATTTGATTTAATGTTAGCTGTCGGCTTGCTGTATATTGCTTTTATTATATTTAGGAATGAACCTTGTATCCCTAATCTCTCCAAGACCTTTATCATAAAGGAGTGCTGAATTTTGTCAAATGATTTTTCAGCATCTAATGAAATGATCATATGGTTTTTTCCTTCAGTTTATTTATATGATGGATTACATTGATAGATTTTTATATATTGAACCAGCCCTGCCTCTCTGGGATGAAGCCTACTTGATCATAATGTATAATTTTTTGGATGTGTTCTTGGGTGGTTTGCCATTATTTTATTGAGAATTTTGCATTGATGTTCATGAGTGAGAATGGTTTGTAATTCTCTTTCTTGGTTAAGTCTTTGTGTGGTTTTGGTATCAGGGTGACTATAGCTTCATAAAAGGAGTTTGACAATGACGCTTCTGTTTCTATTTTGTGAAACACATGAAAGAGTATAGGTATAAGCTCTTCTTGGATGTTCTGGTGGAATTCTGCATTGAAACCATCAGGTCCAGGGCTTTTTTTTTTTGGTAGGGAGGTTTCTGATGACAGCTTCTATTTCCTCGTGACTTTCAGGTCTATTTAAACTGTTCACCTGGTCTTGATTTAATTTTGGTATATGATACTTATCTAAAAAGGTGACCATTTCTTTCACATTTTCTAATTTTGTGGCATATAGGTTTTTGTAGTAAGATCTAATGATTCTCTGAATTTGTTCTGTGTCTGTGGTGATGTCCCTTTTCATTTCTGATCTTGTTAATTTGCGTGTTCTCTCTCTGCATTTTGATTAGTTTGGATAGGGGTTTGTCAATCTTGTTGATTTTCTCCAGGATCCAGCTTTTTGTTTCATTGATTCTTTGGATTGTTTTCTGTGTTTCTATTTTGTTGATTTCAACCCTCAATTTGATTATTTCCAGTCTTCTACTCCTCCTGGGTGAATCTGCTTCTTTTTTACTAGAGCTTTCAGATGCTGTTAAGTCTCTAATGTGTGCTTTCTCCAT